GCCGACAGCCCAATATTAATTTATATCAGCTGTTTTTTTTCCTGTGTCACTGGTTAGAAAACAGCCCTCCTCCTTTCAGATAAATTTGTTTTCCATTGTTGTTCCTGTAGCTGCACAAGTCAGAGTTCAGGTTGGCACAGAGCGTTTGGCAGTGTCAGAGACAAAATCCACAGCCACGCTACTGCAAGGTGTGCTTACACTGGCACTAAGGATCCCAGCGGAGGCACGGACCCACTGCACAATACTGTGGGTTACATAGAAAAGTCATGCAAAAAGAGAATCCCTGCCTCAGAATTTGTAATCGGGGGTTGAGGCAAAACACGAGAGAGAAATAACTAGCTAAACCAGAATAATTTAGTCTAGGCTGGAGCGGACAGATGCACACTGCTGAATTAATGTTAAAAGGTGCTCTTAGTAGTGAGAAGTGTTTGCCAGGTGAACTAGCGCTGGACAGAGGCGAGTTACAGAGCTAGCAAAGCTAGGAGGGGCATAAGGGGAGACACAGGGTTGTGCCTTCCTAGAGCGATTCCCCTGCCGGAGTCAATGGAGATGTATGTGATCATGACAGCGGAGTCAAAACAAAGGTGGTTGCTGGAGATGCGGCTGAGAGATGCTGGATTCAAAGGGAGGTGGAGTGAGTGGGACAGATGTACCATCAACCTCCTGCAAGAGAAAGAGAGCCAGGGAGGCAGAGCGCTGGGCAATCAGCACTGTGGGCCAGGAAGGCAAGGCCGGCGATAATGTTTTAGACAGACATCTTGGAGTAAAGCTCGAGTTGCAAACTATCATTTAGTTTGAATTCTTTCAGGAGGCCTAAGCGTGTTATTCAGTATTAAATGATTTAAGAATAGTAGTGAGTAATCGGTGGGGATGGCATTAGATATCAATAAGCATAGAACTTCAACCAATAAAAGAAACCAACAGAGGCAACATGTGTTGACTTAGCTTTTAGATAGGCTAATCAGAACTTCAAAGACGACAAAACTTCGGGGCTTTTCTCAAGTCACAGAAACAGTTTAAGTACAAACCAACCAACAGGTATGTTGACCTTACTCAGATTAAGATTAGATGGCATGAATCATACTTGATTGTTTTACATAGACTGGGTTTATTTTGCTAGTGACTAAGGCAACAGAAGCAAGATTGTGCACTCAACCTGCACCCAGGGAAAGGTTTCATTTGCAGATATTCTGCAGCCTTGTCTGAATTCCTCGTCAGTGTTCTAGGAAATAACTTTTACATTTATTTAAGAACATTTATTTTTCTTTTCATTTTATATCCCTGTAATCTCCGGTTTCATATCACTGTCACACAAATTTCCTGTGCCATATCGTTAGTACGTTGTTCCTTATTTACTCATTGTACTGAGTCACAACATACCTAGTAAAGCTCCTTCTATCTGTTACTGTAAAAGCCTGTCTCTGAGGCGACTTCCCTGAACTCTCTGGTTCCCAGTGACTACCTGGGTTAAACAGAAGAAAAGATTCACTGCATTCAAGGTGCAAGACAAGGATCAGGAAATCGCTTTGTAGGGCTGTAAGGTTGGTTGTTGAGGTGGTGTAAAAGGAGAATTCTCCTCCTTTTATACCTCCAGCGCTGTTAGGTAGGAAAAGACACAAAAGTGTGATGTCCATTTGTGTCACTAGGACAGAAGCTCATCCATTCCCTGCATCAGGCTGTGTTTCACAGGAGATAAAATCTGTATGAACTAATAAACCTCTGCAAAGCAAAGCAACACTTTGCTTTGTACTCCATCCCTGTCATGCTTTGCAAAGTCAACTCCACAATTGCCAAATGTCTTCTTGCAAGATCTCAGACCTTTCTCTCCCACTTTTTTGTAATCAAACCATATTACCTTTATCACAGGGAAAACCACACTGCTCAGAACCTCAAGCAGAACTAAATGGGAAAGAGAAAGAGGAGTACTCTCTTTCCAGCTACCAGAGCTAAGCTGCTTTCTGCCTTAGTCATCCTCAGTGTGAGTGCTTGTCTCTGGACTTCCTGTTTCCCATCTTTCCTTTCCGCACTAGATGTAAAGTCTAAACAAAATACCCTTTGTGCTGCCTCCAGCGACATGCCAGCTTCCCTTAAATCTGTTTACAGGCTCACCATCCCTTCTGGCATCAAATCCTCACCTTTGCTTTCAAGCTGCCACATGCCACGACACCCACCTGCTTTCCTTCTCTGGTTTCCCTTGACTTCTTTCACTCATTGTCCCTGGTTTTCTTTTGCTGATTCTCCTTACAGTGCTTTCTGACCTGTACTTATTTGCCCAATGAAAATTCCTGTTCCTCTTTTACTCACATTACAATCAAATTCCACCACAACGTGAACAGTCACTGCACACTGATGTACTAGCTTACAGCGCTGAGCAAACTATCAATGGTTAAATGATAATGAAGGGAGAAGACAACAGAAAGGATGGGAAGGGGAAAATGGTTAAAGGGTGAGAGAGGGGGTATTGTGAGTAAGCAATAACCACTCAACATGAACAGAACCTGGGAGAAGTTGAACTTTCAGAGTAGGAGGAGGTAGTGGATAAAAAGGAGAGAGTGGATACTGATTCAGAAGTGGATACTTAATTTAAAAGAAAAGAACAAGAATACAAAAATTTACCTATTTTCATATTAATAAACGAAGTTACTAATAGCGTCAAGAAGATTGTCAGCAACCTTTGCCAGCTTTACACTGGTAATATATGACTGTTCAGAACAGTTTCTCAACACTCCCCATGAAAATGGGAACAGAGTCCTTTTTTCTGAAGAAATGTCCTATTGGCGTGAAAGAAGTTAAGGACAGTGAGCTGGCAGTTTAGGATCTAATTCTCATGGCTTTACATAGCCATTTTCCATTTTTCCTATACATATTTCTAGATGGGGGGTACTTGTGTGAAGTTTATTCCTAGAAGGGCATTCGTCGTGACTCACGCTACACTGCCCCCGGCACCTTCCCTCTACCTCACTCACCCCATGAGAGAGAAAATCCACTGGCCTATTTTAAGGTCATGGCTCAGGAAGGCATTCTTGCCACATTTTTAATGTATAACTCAGAAGGATGCTAGCACTGTCTGGTTTTTAATCTCTAAGTTAATACAACACAAAATTGTATTAAAAGAAAGACCATTATGTTGGAAGGCACAGTGAGGTTAGGAAATGTTGGATTGAAGTTGCCTGCACGTCCTGACTGCTGAACTGCGTCATGGCACAGTCCTTAGCCACACGACTGCACTCTCACCCTCTGAGCATCTATACAATATTTCTTGTCTTCATTATTCAGTATTGCCCAGACCCTATTTCCTCAAAACCTGTGATGAACACAGTATTATTAATTTTGTAAGCGTTTTCTTCATGGCATTATCTTGATTATTTATAAACAGCCATGAGTTTGATTTCTCAGTGACCACCTGAGGTGAAGGGATGGTACTACCCCAATATTGCAGATAGGAAACTGAAGCAAGAGTGTCAAAGGTGTGCACTGCTTGCAGGAGATCAAGCAAAGAAGGATGGCACTTGAATTTTCAAAGTCATGAGTACAACACAGACCTTAATGATCCAAAGAAGATCTCTACTGGCTTTAGATACATCTTTGAGCATTGCCTGAAAATCTGTTTCCACACTGAGAAAAAGCAGAACATACAATACATCAGTGACCATATCATAAATCTGCTGCTTCCATGCCTAATGTAATGTCTGAGGCCTGCCATTCTCTATGGGAACAGAGAACAGCAAAGTGAGGTGACATTCCCACTGCCAGCAGGTTTTGCAAATATTTATTATGCAACGTGGTGAGATGATGGTTCTCAGTTCAAGCCCAAATTTTGCAAGGAAATGTATTTCATGGTCACAGACCCTTAACCTCCAAGCTCTATTCCTCTGCAGCCAGATTTCTTCCGTCCTTACGATGTTCCCGCCTCTCATACCTGTTTCTGCTGTGTGCCTTCAGCCCTACGTTTCCCCGCAGACTCCTTATCCCCAATGCTCCATCTTCCCACTGCCTCCTTCTTTTTGACCCTACATTCTCACCTGCCTTTTCCACGCTCCTTGTGCCTGCTGTGTTTCAGCTCCCAGTTCTCTGCTGCCTCCTGTTCCTGGCCTCTTTGCTCAGTCAGCCCTCAAATGCCTCACCTACAGCTCCCATGCCCACTTTTAAGTCCCATGAGTTTTTCAACAGGTTTCTTCTACCGTCCAGCACAGCTCCTGCTCAGTGGCTTATCCCTTCCACACCCAGATTTGAGAAAAGACAGTTTCCCTCATCCCCAGTTCCAAATTCCAAATCTGGTGCCACAGAATGAAGTCTGGGGTATGTACAAGGTGGAGAGTACTTCAGGTCACATAGATATGCACTAGATCAATATACAATGTACAACATCTCAGCCTTCCCTTCAAATTCGTTTTTCACTCTTGCTCACAACTGATACGAACAGATACAGCTTTTGGAGCAGAGTCCCATGGCTGACTAACAAAAAGGCCAGAGTAAAGCAGATGTGCTCTAGCAACCAAAAAATGTTTAAGAAAAACCCTGGAACCCTCCCTTGATGACAGTCATCTTGCTGCACACTCGGTTCAAATCCTGCTTGGTCCTCTCTGCATAAGTGTGGACTGATTGCAGGACTGATACTTGTACTGTTTGCATTTGGCAAGAGTTCAACATTTGAAACACTAAAACGCGGGCTCCATTTCTGCACTTCCCGGTTTTTCTTGGACCACTAGATGGCAGTTCCCCATTTACAAACAAGGGCTCTCGTTACCTGTTTGCTCCTGCCCAGAGCTGTGTCAAGCACAGTTGAGGCACGCATCTGCCTTTGCATGTTGTCTGCAACACAGAGTTATTGTGGAGCTGTCAACAAGAGTGGCTCTGGGCCAGTGTCCTACCTGAAGGATAAACAGCTTTGCACTTTTAAACGATGACAGAAGAAATTTCCACAAGCACCCTGAAGGGTGCTAAATACTACACACAGGCCTTATCAACAAGAGAGGTTCTCCACGTCAAGTCTTACTCACCCAGAATTTTACGAGGAAGAAAGCGTTTTGGGGCCCCTTCCCAAACAGTTCCTTTAGACCGCCCTTCTTTTCAGGAAATTTGTCATAAATCTGACGAATGTCCACCGATTCAAGCAACGGGTCACTGTAAGAATGGTTAGCGTGTCCAATGTGTACGAAGAGGTGTTTATTGTACTGCAAGAAAGAAACAGGAAAATCAGTGCTGTATAAAAAGAACAGAGGTTTGTTAAGGCACGGGTCCGTGTGTACTCCTGTGGTGGGTAGTGTGCTTTGATGGATTAAATGACTAGCACATTACCCCTGGGACTATGATTTTCTGCAGTATGATTTCCATGAACAACTTAGCGATTGTGTCGTAGCCCCTTGTGAACAAGGGTCAACATCAAAAAAACCTGTGTCCCTACTGCAAACCAGAAAACATGGTCATCTTCAAGGGAGTAATTTACACTGAAAGACCCGGTGGCAGCATGGTGATAAAGAGCCCTTCACAAGGCATAATAAGATGAATATGCTCACGAGAAAAGCCTATTTCTGCCTCTTTAAACCATGCCTTTTAATGTCTCATGTCCTCAGAGCCTGAATTTCTGCTAGTGCCACAGAGCCCACACATACACACTTCCTGTTTGTCTATTAAATAACCCCCAAACCTCTACCTATAGCATATGCTAATGCCCCTTAACTAAAAGAGATGGAAGGGATTTTCTTTTAACTCTAGAATGGCAGTAACAAGAAGGCCAGTTGCTCTGTGTGTTTGTTACTAGAAATGGTCCTCATTGCATGTTCTCCAGTATTTTGACCCGTGTAATATTAAAGAGCCAAACTTTTACCACTTCCCTCGGGAGCCAGCTCTATACTTGACCATCTCTGCCAAAACACATTCAGCTTCAATTTCCTATTTCTTAACTTCATCCCATCACACCTCATTATAATCACAGGAATAACCTCAGCAACCCCTTTCCTGCCTGGGGGAAATCCTTGGCTGAGTGAAGCCCACAGCAGCCCCCTACTGAGTCCAATACGGTCTTTTAGGGGCTGCCATTTCTCCAAGATGAGAGCACCTTCCAGCACCTGAAATGAAAGCGGATGGAAAAACCCCCAAAACCCTCTGCTAGTCAATCAGCAGCTCAGAGTGTCGTGTGAGCAGACTGAAGGAGCTTGAGAGTGGCAGGATTAAACACTGGGGTTTTTAACCATGCAGATCACAAAACGTTTTGCTAACTCAATTAAAGGAAAGCTGATATGCAGTCAATGAACACTAGAAAACCCTGTCATATTGAACAGATGCTGTATATAAGGGGCAATTCCCAAAAGCTAAGCACAAATAAAATATTTAAAACCCCAAAGCAGACCTCATTTAAGCTATTTTGTTTACAATGTACCTGCCGAATGAACAAATTGAAATGACAAATCTAAATTAATTGGACATCCACTCAGAGCCTTCCTTTGGTGTAAGTAGAGTCTTCCCTAGCAGATGTCCAAAACTCTGGGGAAAGGGAAATGGACTGGCTAGATTTCTGCACTTAGAAAATTAAATTGAAATCTATTTAAAAATCATCTAGCACAGTGGAATCGGAATTTAGAATCAGAGAACACTCATCTCTGTATGGGGCCAAAAATGAGATACATTCTGCGCCTTTTACTGGGCTGTATTTCTTTTTTGATTTTGTGGAAGGAAAAAGGAAAGCATAATACTTTATTAAGGTGTTTGCAAAAGCAAGTCCAAGTCTGAGAACACTGGTTCCACAGATTTTCCTTGCAGCCCTCTTTCAAAAGAATGCCATCACAGCCTCTTCTGTGCTCAAGTGGAAAACTTGCCCAGCCTTTACTTGGTGCATGTGGAGCCCAAAAGGGGCAGAGCTGATCCTAAGAAGCTGTTTCTACCTTAAAGAGGAAAACAGGCACAGCAGAGAAATAAATGGGCAGCGGGGAGCTGAATGCACGCGTGCAGGAGCGAGCGGGCTCATGAAGGTGTGCCAGCTAGCCCGCACCCAGCCCTGGTCTAGCTTGCACGCTGATCATTTACACACGATACAGGCAATCACTGTACCGGTTGGCAACCATGAGTGACTACTGTAACAGTGTCTGCAGTCAAGATTTAGCATGTTACTTTATGTAGCAGTGGCAAAAGTGGACTAAGAAGACACGTTAACATGACAAAACAAACAAAACCAAAAATATGTAGCTTGCAGTACCGTCGGTAAATAACTAAAATTCATGCTGAACATTTCTTACGTATCTTGCTGCCTACTGAAAAACTTAGACCTCAGCAAAATGTCTCAGTGCCCCATATAGCTGGGAACTGCCAGGAACGCAAGAAAGGGAGTCCAAAAACCTGCTCCTGTTGCTTTCCTAAGCTACCAGGGGTGAAGTGGAAGAGGACGGGGCATGGGTTGGGTCACCGAACATGGCTCCTGACGGAAGCCTATCTGCTATCAGGCAAACATTTCAATTTTTCAAGTAGAATGATGAGAATTCCCTGGTAGAGGTAAGCACTTCAGCCTTCTCTGAAAAATTAAACCCAAACATTTCCCTTCCCCCGGCACCCTGGTAGCCTGCCTAGGAGTGCCCAGCAACTGTGCTTTCCCTGGGGATGTGAGATGCCCCAAAGCATCTCCCTGCTCTCCCTCGTTCAGAGTAAGGGCTTGAAAAAACATCCCTACCATTAGTGACTGGGTTATTATTTATTTTGGGATTGCTTCCTCTCAGTCTTCTCTGCTGGAGTTGTTCCAGGTTGTGCAAATAACCACATCTTTATAGGAACAGAACTGAGGGCTCAGGTTCTCCTGCACCCAGGAAAGTGTCCTCCCCAAAATGGGGGTGTCTCTCCCAGGCCCAAAGGTGGCTGTGGAGAGAAGGAGGAAGGGAGAGCTGTATTTTACAGTTTGGCAACTGTAAGTTCCCAAGACAATTTGCACACTGTACCTTATTCTGCAAACCAGGAAAATATACAAATTGCTCAGTATCCAAACTTTAGTAAAAGCAAACACATAGGAACATAGTCCATCAAGTCTTAATACTGTTTAAATATAAAAGCAAAGTTAAAGGCAGCTGTAAAGCTACCACAGTTGTCTGCCGAGCTAGCCAAAGTACCAGATGCTGCCACAGCAAAATTTCCGAGCGGGTACAGTAGGACAGATGGTATGACATCACCTGACAACATTCTTAGGACAGAAATGTTTATTTTGGTATTGCAATGTGTGATTATTTTCTCCTTATGTTGCTGCAATTCCTATGCTAAGTACAATCATTACTAACCTAATTAGATATGGCATATTTCTATGAACTAACAAATGATAATATAATATTAGGAGAAAGGTAAATGGATACTGAAATAATCCTTATCGTTTTTATACAAACACACTCCATGACAGGAATCTATGCATAGATAAAAGCAAAGAAGCTAAGTTTTATGCCTATATTTTTGAGCCCATTAGTGTCTGAAAAGCTTAAAACCATCCTCATTATATTGAGAATTCACTGTTCTTTTAGACTGAGTATTCCAGAGTCACTGAAGTACATTAAATGCTGAGGAATTTACTCATGCTACAGCATTTAAAAGATTTGCATCTGGCATTGGGGTAATAATGTGCTTTATATGCTGTAAACCATCCTAGGTCAAATCCTGTATTTCCTGAGAATAAAAACTACATAAAAATACAAAGAACATTTTCAGCTACATCTTCAGTATCCGCATTACACGACATGCCCTGGAGATGGCCGCCTCTTACTGAGCTCCTTTGCTTAAAAAAATTCTAACTATCCAAAGAACGCAGTAAAGCCATGAAATATGACTGTTGTCAAATAATATCACGAGAAAAATTATAATCCACTTGGGAATTTAAAAGAACCAAGACAAATTGCCAATGGCAGGGGATGCAAGCATTTAAGCTGGTGCAGAACAAAGACAAATCACCTGCATTTGTTTTATCAGCCAGCATATATATTTGTAACAGCTCCTCACTGATTTTGTGCTTATATTCTAAGGCAACAGCCTTTCTGGTCTACAAAACACAAGTTTTTAAATTGCTACAGCTCTCTCTGCCACATCCTTGTACTTCCCCACACCGGTGGAGCTAATGCCAAGCCCTGCCAAACCTGTAGAGGACCAAGTTTTTTATTAACCAGTGGTGGCCTGGATGCAGATGGCAGTGAAGCCAACCCTCTCACGCTCTTGATATGGGCGAGCTGGGCATGCAGAGCTGCTGGGGTACCCGCTCCCTCGCTGCTCCCCTCTGTCAGAGCTGTGTGGCCCTACATACCCATAATAAGCAGCATGTGGGGGGCGAGTGGCTCCCTGGGCCCTGCCGAGGCTGGGTGACATGGATGCGGAGCAAGGTGGAAGGCAGGTGGCCCAAGAGAGGGCCCTCGGCAGCTGCTCATGGGCATAGCACCCCGACTGCAAGGGCGCTGCGTCCTCCCGCCGCACCCTGAGGTGCAGCTGTGATTTCACCCACCTGAATCACACTCGCATGCCTGGGAGTCAACCCACACTGGCAGGGGCAGTGTAAGCTCCTCTACAAACAGACCTGGCCCTGCAGTGGGATAAGCTGGTGGCTTGCTGGACCTCACATACCCATGGGATGGTCAAGCAGGACAGGGAGGTGGCAGCACCCCGCTGCCTTGTCTGTCCTGCAGGGCCTAATAACAGCACCTTGCTAGCTGGGTCACTTCCTAAGATCTGTAAATCCTGCAGACTTCAAGCATAACAACCACAAGGGTGAGGCCATCTAAATCATTACTTGCAGCAACAAATCCCTATGAGAAAATACCGTGGGGGGAGGCTGGCAACTTGAATGGATCGTAGTCTCGTGCGCCCAAAGAAACTCCACCACCCAAAGCAGAATTAGATTAAAAAGGCTCTGCTGCAGGTCTTCTCTCTCCTGACACAGAGGGACAGCCTCTCGGCTCTCTTTGGACCAAATATATTCTGTGCTGGAGGCCACAAGGACTACCACGGCATCTCAGAGGGACAGGTGAGTGGAAGGCAGGTGGGACAGCCTAACTTTTTGCTGAAATGAGAGAAAACATCACTGCTCAGGTGCCTGGCACCAAGCAGTGATTCCCTCTGTACCTCCACAAGACCAGTCCAACCCCTCTTCTAAAAAATGTACCGCTGCCTGTGCAGCAACTGCACTTTTAGAGGAAAAAGGAGCCAGGTGGGGTGGGCTGATTAA